TGCCATGACCTCCGAGCATCCCTCGACCTCATTGACTTCTTCCCAGTATCGGATGGCGTACTGGCGAAGAGTCTCGGATTCCCTCCGTCTGAGGGTCAACAATGATCCAATGTCCTTGGGGCGCTTACTCCCCGTGATGAATCGGGTTAGGAACTGCCTTGTCAATTCTTTCCAGGACCCAATACTGTTTGGGGGAAGCGTCTCGAACCACCTCATCGCAGAGTCCCCCAAGCTCATAGGGAACACCCGGCATAGAAACCGTTGGTCCGAATGATAGAGGGACATCATCTGCTTATATTGTCTGATATGGGCTTCGGGATCGGATCGCCCATCATAGGTTTTGAACCGTGGCACAACGAACTTTCTTGAGACATCCATCTCACTGATTTCCCTCGTGAAGGGTGTTTGCATGACTTCGTCCTCGGCCTCGTCCTGGACAGTCTTACCCTTTCTTCTGGAGTCTAATCGGGCTCTGAGATCTACTTCTTCCCTTACGGGATGCCTCCTGAAGTCCCTGGGTTCATGGGTAAGCCCCTCGTTTCCCGGGCGTCGTGTAGATTGGGTTGAGTCCTCCTCGGATTCATCTCCCTTCCTCCGTCTGGACAAACCTCGCCGGAGGTCGTCCAGGGCCAACGGCCTCGCTTTCCTGGAATGGTTGTCAAGATGGCATTCGCCGGCTCTGGGTCGCTTCGGGGCCCTGGAGCTTTCTGCTTTGTGATCCAGGTGGTTTCTTAGATCCTTTGTCTCCGCCTCATGGACGGGGAGCCCTCGGGAAAGGAATGAATCCCTCGACCCTCCGCCTGAGGCGGCAAACTCGTCGAGCCGGCTAAGGACGTTTACATTGTCCTTCTCCAGCTGACGTAATCTATCGCCAAATTTCTCTTCTATCACCTCTGCCAGCTGACGGGCCAAGGGGGCTGATCCTCCTGACCTGATCCCCATACTGGTTTGGGGGGTTACCCCCCTTGACCGAGTAGAGGCACTTTTAATCGTACTGGTGCGATCCCTCCCTCCGTGATGGCAGGGAGCTTGCAACTCATGACTCCTTTGGTGGGGTCCTTTCCCTTTCTGTCTGGTGTTCACCATGGTCACTGTTCTTTATAGAGAAAAGATTAGGAAAACTACTCGTTTCCCACAGACGGCGCCAGATTGTGCGTGCAAGATCCTGCACAATATAAAAAATATTGGGAACAGATCTCTCCCCTGGTGAACTCTGAGTGAGCCGGTTGAGTGGCCAAACACGCTGCTTGACACAGCCTGCAAGGTACGGTGGCAACCTGGAACGGCAAAGAGGATCCTGGGAAAGGAAGAACGATCCTGTATGTCTGAAAGGTTTTCCTGGAATAAAGAGGAACAAGTTAGAAGGGTGCCGGAGTGTTTTCCGGCGTATCCCCTCCGACGGTCTAGTCAGTCTTTGAATGAGAGAGAGGAAGAAGAAAACACTGAGAAAGTCTGTATTGTAGTAGAGAGTTTGTGATTGCATACCCGCTTTGCCTTTTGGGAGGAGTATTTATACCTTAGAAGCTCATGATTGCTGTCAGTGTGGTCAGTAGGTGATTATCAGGCACAGGTAGCGTGTGTATTGATTTGATGAGGAATGTCTTCTCTAATTGACTGCTCGGGGTCCCGAGCAATCAATGCTGAGTCGTCGGGACGCCGACGGTACAATATGCTCCTTTCGGGAAGGATGCAATAAATGCTCTGTAATAGGAGCATTTATTGCCTTTCATATCCGAACCTTACCGCATTGAATGCGGTCTCGTCAACAGAAGGGTGCAATTAATTGTTTGCTTTCCAAAGCGCATGTCAGCAACAGCATGCGGTTTGTCTGTTTTTGATGTGATATCATATGCCACGCGTCCATCACGTATTGGCTATGACTTCTGTATTCCAGCATGTTCTGACATTACTTGTGTAAGACGAGGTCATGATGAATAGTCTAGACTGGCATAGGCTGATGTCCCGTACGTCAGTAGCTTTATCTGGGAGTAGAGGAAGCGTCCAGGATGGAGTGACCCTCGGCACCGAGGAAAGGCTCACCTCGGGGACCGAGGGGTGGTATGTTTCCGAGGTACACGGTGACCGAGGACACGTGTTGTATAATACACCGAATGCATGATCCTATTGAGAGGTACCTCGGGGGAGAGGACGCTCTTCGCCGATGGTGCTTACATCCGGGCAACACTGTTTCCAAAAACCCGAGGACACGTGTCTTCATCTTAGGGCTTTTCAGAAGAGTCTCATCCTTTTGTAAGGGGTAGAACCCTCCACTCAGGATTTCGGCTGACCTGGGTTAACCCACGCGGGCGACCCCCCAGTAGCCTTTACCTCTCTTCGCCAATAGGACCCTTTCCTAAGGCAATCCCACATCGGAAGAGAGTTGTCTTCCCCCTCGCATATAAGCCCTTGCACTCAAAGGAGGAGGTACCCACTAGCGACCTGATCAGGTGCCTAGTGGGTACCTCCTCCTTTGAGTGCAAGGGCTTATATGCGAGGGGGGAAGACGACTCTCTTCCGATGTGGGATTGCCTTAGGAAAGGGGTCCTATTGACGAAGAGAGGTAAAGGCTACTGGGGGGGTCGCCCGCGTGGGTTAACCCAGGTCAAGCCGAAATCCTGAGTGGAGGGTTCTAACCCTTACAATAACTTTCTAATATCCAGTATTTGATTATCTAGTAATGTCTGAAAAGTATCAACGACAATTAATGACAATCTGTTTCTGTCTGAGAGTCTTGACAATCACATCGCTGCCCGTATACGCCTAGGAGTCTCAGCAACCATTCTCATTTAAAAATAAAACACAAACATTTCAAGTACTTGAAAATATAACCACCAACAATCCACCAAACACAGCCACAAGTCACAATCCATCAATTTTCACATAAATACAACTAGCTTAGTCATAAATACAATTTTCACATCAATTTTCATATATAGAAATTCTTACCTATAACAAAACTCACTCTCTCTCTCTCTCTACATATATATACACATACCCAAATCATAAACTACGCCCTCAACCCTTCTCATTTTCTTCCATACCCAAAACACTAAAATTCATAAACTTAAATCCAAAACTAATTTTTCGGCGTAACACGAAGAGGTTATAAAATCTCCAAAGTTAAAGATCTAAAACACTTGTCTTACAATGAATCTTACCAAAAAAGGCTGGAGTAAGGCAAAAGTGACGGTGTCTTCAATGACTCACCCCATTTTTTCAATATTACACTTAAGTCCCCCTTGTTTCATTCACTCACACATCACCGCTTACTTTCCAACGCATATTGATTTACACCCAAAACATTTTTTGTCACCTAACAATTTAACTGAAAATCATTTTCTCATTTAATAAATCAACCCCCAGGGTTAATATTTACCAACACTCATAATTCCAATCACTGTAGTTTAACCCCCAAAGTAATTATCACTAATTATACATTAGACCCCATCATTTATAAAATATTATGCATTTACAAGTTCAGGTCTCACAAAATTATCCTAATCCATTTTATATTTGGGCACTACTTAGATAGATCACGATGAATTCAATCCTAATTTGGAACTCGAATTATGTAATTAAAGAATTAAATTAATCAAAAAAACTGAACAGAGGAATTGAACCCACCTAAGGTTAGGGGTTCAAAGGTTGGTAGATGAGAAAAAAATTGAACCCAATTTCAACTCGTATCGTGCGACTTCAATTCAAAAAATTAAGCATTGATAATTTTTAGATTAAAGGATTAAGGTTGTATTCGAATACAGGTTAAACTCAACTGTGATGGGGCTTATGTGGTAGAGATGAAGACAGGAGCATATGGAGTCATAGTCAGAAATCCTCAATATATTAAAAGTGTTGTAATGTGACTTTTATTGCTCGTTCCATTAAAAATCACACTATTGAAGATGACGGAATGAGCAAAGCTAGTTAACGGAAGGGGCGACATTCCTTCACTTTGAAATGGTACAAAGAGTCCCTTGGGAATCAATCTAAGTAGATAAGCAATCCATTTATCAAACTGTTTTCTCACAAGAATAGAGGTGTTTTGCTTATCTTGGCAAAACTCAAAAACACACATTTTCTTTCTGTATTACTATTACATATCCCTCAATAACAGACATGCTCCAATATTTGCAAACAAATTGTTTATAAGATCGTTTCAGGTTGGGTTGTCAGCTTGGTTGCCTCCTTCAGGCAACCAAGCTGGACTTCATACAATGGTTGGGTTGTCAGCTTGGTTGCCTCCTTCAGGCAGATATGGCTAGGTCCATGTAATGGTAATACCACGTCTTCAATGACTTACTTTTGACGATAACGCAATGTGTCACTTGGGATTAAGTAAGTATCAAAGATCGCATAGAAAGACAACAAAATCTACTTCCCCAAACAAAAACAGGGAATAACATTCATCTACTACTAAAAATCGGACATCAACTAGAGGTTGAAACCCTGTCATTAGTTGAAAGAAAGAAGAATAAAACAGAACAGTGGAAAAAATAGAACAACCCGACGATATAGATAATCTTAATGATCAAGACACAAAATGCTAAATTACCTTTACAATTAAGTATTATCACAAAAACCTACATAAACTGGACTAACAATTAAAACAAGCACGAAGATTAAAGCTTCTACAGTATATATATATATACCCAATACATCAAATCTCATTGCCCATGGATAAGAAAAACAGCTTCAACACCAAGAACTAAAAAAAAAAAAAAAAACTAAAGCCCTTACATACTAACGGTTTGGTAATTGTGGCCAAGCGTCACCCAGTGGGAAGTAGTGTCAAACCAAAATACCCAACAAGCATTAGCTCTCCCTGAAAAGGAGGTGATCCAGCTGCACTAGTCCTGCCTTCAGCATTCCCATCAAATCTAAAAATTCATCAGCTCAAAGAAACAAAAAGTATGGTCACCACACACATGCTTGCAATTCCATAAATGTAACAACAACAGAGTGAAAACAGGGGACTCTACTGGCTCTTGCAAGAAATATTATCAGACACAAGCCAAAGTTTCAATGTATGGAAATGCAACAGCCCATGGGACAATTGGGGCAATCCCGCTTTGACCTTCATCCAAGTCTAAAGCAATCTTAAAAGTCCTGTCCGACAAATTGTAACGCATGGCCTTACCTGGTAAGGTAAACAATAGAAATGACTCATCATCGTCATCCATTCGTGTAAGATTTAGTATAAGAAACATGTAGTAATTCACGTCTGATGGGTCAACACCTTCGTTAATGGACCCTGGAAATGCTTTCATAACTGCGTCAAGATCAACAATGTACTTCACAAACCAACCAGAATAGTCTCTTGGCATCTCATAGACAATGACATGTGACGTAGGAGGACCATAATTCTCAATAAGATGCAAATGGTCATTAGATTCCACGAAGTATTTAACGAACCTCCTCTCACCACCACTGGGGACTGGTGGCATTGACAGTGTTCGAAGGAGTTCTTCGTCAACATTAAAACACAAAAATTCATCCGAGGAGCTGAACCAATTAATAGCACCATTCCAGAAAACCCCTTGCTTAAATTTAACAGATGAGCGGAAAGGATTACCAGAGCGACTCCAAATGCCGGTTTCAGATGAATATACTTCAATTTCATAATGGCCAGACAGTCCCACGGCGGAATAAACACAAACAACTTTGTAGCATGATGATTTCGACGGATCAAAGGCCAATTGAACACCGCGAGTGTAATTGAAAATCCGACCACTAGGATCAGGAAGTGTGGTGATTTTTTGGGTAGTAGGATTGCAGATATAATATTTGCACGGAGCATTAGTTCTTTGAACGGTAAAGCAACACAATAAACCATTACAAGATTGCGAGATTTGTATACCACCGCGTTCGACAATATTGAGAGTTCTGAAGTGGGGTTTGGTTGCGCTTGTACCGTCCAGGGGGATAAAGTCATGTTTCGGGGAAGAATATCGGCGCAAGAATAAGCCGGAGGGAGTGGTAATGCCTTGGCTTCGGCGGCGATAAAAATATGGGCTGGTGATGAGAGAGAGCCAGTGTTTGGAAACGGACTTGAAACGGAGGAGTGGTTTTGTGGGTAGGCGGATTAGTATCCCCGTCAAGAGGTCGTCGTCGCCGGTGACTCTATGGGCCGATGGTATGCTCTCGGCGGCCATAATTGTGGCAGATTTTGTGGTGTCAGTGTTGGGCTGTCGCCGGAATGAGAGGACTTTGTGTATAAATTGGTGGGCGCGCAGTTTCACGGACGTTGACTGTGACTAATAGCGGGACAGTAGTGACGGAACCTTTACTTGTAGACAAAGAATAATAAAGGTCGGGGAGAATTACACCGAAGTTTCCTTAACTTTGTCACGAAATCGGTTAGCCAATTTGACATTTAAAATATTTTATACAGATAATCTAAAATATATACTTGTACAATATTTAGACTCTTACCGTCAATATTTTTTAATATATTTATTAATAAATTAAATTTAAACTTCTTAAATTTTATAAACGTGTAATACTTAGATCTATCAAATTTAAAATATTATACTTAAATTAAAAATATTTCAATTAAAAATAAAATATCACATATTTTAAATTTAACAACAAAAATTCATGTTCCATTATGATATTTATTGAAATAAAATTAAAAATACAAATCTAATTTTTTTCTTAAAAATTTATAACTAATACACAAATATAATATTTATTAAATTTAAATTGGTTGTTTGAACGACTAAATTAAACTCCAAATTATCACAATTAAAGCTAAAATATTTTGTGTCTATTACAATTTGGCATCTTGTTTAATTTTTTAGTTTATTCTAATAAATAGTATAATTATAATTTTTTTAAGAAAAATTAGATTTTTATTTTTCATTTTATTTCAATAAATGACATAATAAAACATGAATTTTGTATTATGAATGACTTAGATCGCTTATTTTATCTTTTTAGTTTTATTCTAATAGATAGTATGATTGTACGTTAATTACGAATTTTAAGAAAAAATTAACTTTTAATTTTTGATTTTATTTCAATAAATGATACAAATAAAATATTAATTTTGGTTTAAAAAATTTAAAATATTTGATATTCTACATTTAATTGGAGTATTTTTTTATCTAAAAATAACATTTCAAACTTGAGGGGTCTAAGTACTATACGTCTATAAATTTCAGGGATCTGAGTATAATACATTTGATGGCAAGAGTTTAAGTGTTACGCATGCAAACTTCAGAAAATTTGTATATAATATTTTAAATATCAAAACATCTAAATGATTAAGTGATAACTCTCCAGCGATCAAGATATAATTATACATAAAGGTTTACTTGTCTTCCTCTTTTATCCAATGTAATTGTTATATAATTGATTAATTATAAACAATAATGATGAATTAATGGATTCTATCATATTATAATAATTGCTAATAATTTTTAAATTCAAAATTATTACATAAAATTATTGGTATTCACTAGTTTTATATAATTACTAGTTATTGTCTGTATCTAAAGGCACAGAGTAATAAAAAATAGTAAATAATAAACATATTTATATTCATTTCTAAAATCAAGTCAAAAATATAGAAAAAAATTAAATGAATTTAAATATCGGTTTGTAGTAGGGGTGAGAGGTAGTAGGCAGCAGTGGTGGTGGTAGGAGACGGTGATAGTGTGGTTGATGACAATAACCGTAATGGTGGCGAAGGCAACGACAGTAGTGGTGGTGGTGGCGGTGGCAAAGATGTTGGCGGCGGTAGTGATGGTGGCGATGACAATGGTGGGGGGTGGTGGTGATGGAGGCAGTGGACGGTGGCGACAATGATGATGGAGATGGCAGCGGCGGCGACGGTAGTGGTGATAGAAGTAGTGGTAACGTGGTTTCAAACACTTTTTTTTTTAAATATTTATAAAAAATAATTTTAAAAATACTTTTAAAAAATCATTTCAAACACACCCTCAGAGCCTATTTTTCTATTAAATTTAGAGTATTAATATTATCCGTTAAATTAACTTTAAAGTAAAATTTAAAACGATTTCAATCGCGAATAACAAAAGTCATTTTGTTTATTTTTAAAATTTGAATTGAAAGCTACTTTATTATATATATATATTATATATATTATATATATATTATATATATATATATATATATATATATAAATTATTTATATATATATATATATATATATATATATATAATATATTTATAGGAGAAATTATATAGGACTCCCTCAAACTTCGGGTTAGTGGGCCGTCACCACGCTAGACTTTTTTGAATTACACCTAAGCCCTCCTACTTGTAAATAAACTGCAAATCGTAACAGAACACTGCTTATAAAATGCCTAAAATATCCTATGATTTTGTTCTAATTTTGTTTGTGATGCCATCCATTAAACAATTTCATATTAATCAAATAAAAAAGGAAAATCCAGCTCCACAATCACTACCACCAGCTCCACTACCATCAACACCACCACTCAACAACAATCAACACCCCCCACCATCGCTCTCACTCACATCCGCACCACTACCAACACAGATCCACCCCAAAAAGTCCACCATCATCTCCAGCTCCACCACCATAAAGCCACCACCGAACACCCAAACAAACAACTACTACTGAACACCCAACAAACCCTCGCCACTATCACTAACACTATTCAACACCTAAACCAAACAATTGTAATCAACCATCGCCCATTGGTTCTATACTCGATTCATCAGCTCAAAAAAAAAAAAAGTATTATCACCACACACATGCTTGCAATTCCATAAATGTAACAACAAAATGAAAACAGGGGACTCTACTGGCTATTGCAAAAAATATTATCTGACACTAGCTAGAGACTCGATGTATGGAAATGCATCATCCATGGGACAATTGGGGGGAAACTCCCCTTGACCTGCAGTAACATCATTACAATTTGTTGACAGACAACTCCAAACAAGCCCAGTTGAATAAATAAGCAATTAAGCCTAATATTTCACCGGTGCTTGTAATTCTACAACACCTTAATCAGAAAGTGCAGGGTAGGATTCAGTAGTATCAGAAGATAGAGAGATAAATAAGATTCGATTCTGTACCAAAAAATGATGACAGCTTTCATCTGTAACTAAATTTGGACCTCACCTATAGGTGCAAACAGTGTCACTAGTTTTTTTGAAAGAAATGTACAAAGAAAACAATATCCATACCTGGAACATTATCACAACACAATCTTCTAAACAAGCATTATCACAACTCACAAGCTTGCAATTCCAAGACAATGGCAACAACAGAATGAAAGCAATCAGAGGAGCCACATGAGATCTCAGCTGACAGATTACTTTTTTTTTTTTAACATCAAAGCTGTCTATTTCATTCAACTCGAAAATAAAGTGTTATATTCAGAAATTAAGAAAGCCTTAACCTCA